CACTATAAGAGTGCTATCATCTTTGAAAGGTACTGGAGACTGGGGAAGGTCCTCGACAAACTGAAGAAAGAGAATTGTTGTATTCGTCTTCAAAAACAAAACAAAAAACATAACAAAACAAAAACAAAAAAAAAAAAGGAAAAGGCCATAAGGTCAAGAAAGGGATCTAGAGTCTACTTTGGTACTTGGGAAAATAATGGAGCAAGTCCTTCAGACATTTATGAACTTATGAAGGTGGCTGGAAACAGTCATATATTTACCAAGGCTAAATCACTTCTAACTGATCTGTTGGCCTTCTGTGATGATGAAACGACTAGATTTCTGGATGAGAGGAGAGCAGATGAGGCCTTATACCTTGGCCTTAGTAAGTCTCTTAACACAGTATCTCACATTTTTTTATCCCGTTTTTATCCAATTAGGATATTACAGTTTGGATGGGTGAACAAATAGGTAGGTAAAGAACTTGTCAGATGACTAGGGTCAGAGGGTAGGGTCATAGAATCATAGAATCATAGAATGCTTAAGGTTGAAAGGGACCGCTAGAGGTCATCTAGTCCAAACCCCCTGCAAACGCAAGGTCACCTAGAGCACGTGGCACAGGACTGCATCCAAGCGGGTTTTGAAGATCTCCAGAGGAGACTCCACAACCTCTCTTGGCAACCTGTTCCAGTGCTCTGTCACCCTCACTGTTAATGAATTTTTCCTTAAGTTCCTGTGGAACTTTTTGATGCTTCAGTTCCTGGCTGTTTCCTCTAGTTCTGTCAGTGGCCACCAGTGAAAAGAGGCCAACACCATCCTCTTTACTCCCTCCCTTGAGGTACTTATAGACACTTGATTAGATCCCGTCTCAGCCTTCTCTTCTCCAGGCTGAACAGGCCAGCTCCCTCAGCCTCTCCTCATAGGGCAGATGTTCCAGGCCCCGGATCATCCTTGTAGCCCCACGGTGGACTCTCTCCAGCAGCTCCACATCCCTCTGGTACTGGGGAGCCCAGAACTGGACACAATACTCCAGATGTGGCCTCACCAGGGCTGAGTAGAGGAGCAGGATCACCTCCCTCGACCTGCTGGAGATGCTCTTAATGAACCCCAGGATCCCATTGGGCTTCTTGGCCATGAGGGCACACTGCTGCCTCATGGTCACCTTATCATCCACCATGACACCCAGGTCTTTCTCTGCAGAGCTGCTCTCCAGAAGGTCGATCCCCAGCCTGTGCTGGTGTCTGGGGTTATTTCTCCCCAGGTGCAGGACCATGCACTTGGCCTCATTGAATTTCATGAGGTTTTTCACCGCCCAGTTGTCCAGTCTGTCCAGCTCCCTCTGGATGGCAATGCAGCCCTCTGGAGTATCAGCTGCTCCTCCCAGGTTCATATCATCAGCAAATTTGCTGAGGGAGCACTCTGTGCCTTCGTCCAGGTCATTGATGAATAAATTGAACAGGACTGGACCAAGGACTGACCCCTGGGGGATCCCGCTAGCTACAGGCCTCCAACTAGACTCTGCACCGCTGATCACCACTCTCTGAGCTCTGCCGTCCCTCCAGTTCCTGATCCACCTCACTGTGCACTCATCTATCCCACACTTCCAGAGCTTGCCCAGGAGGATGTTGTGAGGGATGGTGTCAAAAGCCTTGGTGAAGTCAAGATAGACGACATCCACCACTCTCCCCTCATCTATCCAACTGGTCATTCCATCATAGAAGGCTATCAGGTTAGTCAAGAATGATTTCCCCTTGGTGAATCCATGATGGCTACTCTTGAGCTCCTTCTTGTACTCCATGTGCCTGGAGACAACAGTCAGTATGAGCCATTCCATCACTTTTCCAGGGACGGAGATGAGACTCACTGGTCTGTAGTTGCCTGGGTCCTCCTTCTTGCCTTTTTGAAGCCTGGTGTGACATTGGCTTTCTTCCAGTCCTCCGGCACCTCCCCCATTCTCCAGGATCTTTCAAAGATGATGGAGAGCAGTATAGCTATGACATCCACCAGCTCACGCAGAACTCTGGGGTGCATCCCATCAGGGCCCATGGATTTGTGGGTATCCAGTTTCCTTAGGTGCTCTCTGACCCAATCTTCCTCTACCTCGGGCAAGTCTTCCTCTCCACCGGCTTCTTCTCTTGTCCCTAGGGCCTGGGACTCTAAAGGGCTGCCCTTGGTAAACACCAAAGCAAAGAAGTCATTCAGCAACTCTGCTTTTTCTGTGTTATTCATAACCAGGGTACCCACCCCATTCACCACCAGACCCACGTTTTCCCTGATCTTCCTTTTCCTATTAACGTATTTTAAGAAGTTTTTCTTGTTAACATCCCTTGCCAGATTGCGTTCCAAACGTGCCTTAGCTTTCCTTGTCGCATCTCTGCATTCCCTGACTACGTTCCTGTATTTCTCCCAGGGGGCCTGTCCTTTTTTCCACATTCTGTATACTGCCTTCTTCTGCTTGAGCATTGCCACAAGCTCACTGCTCATCCATACGGGTCTCCTGCCCCCTCTGCCTGACTTTTTACACACAAGGATGCACTGTTGCTGGGCATGGAGGAAGTGCTGCTTGAAAACTAACCAGCTCTCTTGGGCCCCCCTTCCTTCTAGAGCCCATGGGATTCTTCCAAGGAGGGCTCTGAAGAGGCTGAAGTTGGCCCTCCTGAAGTCCATGGTTGCAAGGCTACTTACAGCCCTGCTTCCTCCTCGGTGGATCCTAAACTCCACCAACTCATGATCACTGCAGCTGAGGCTACCCCCCACCTTCACATCTCCTACAAGTCCCTCTCTATTTGTTAGCACGAGGTCCAGTAGCCCACCTCTCTTTCGTGGATCCTCCACAACCTGTGTCAAAAAGTTATCATGAATGCACTGCAGGAACATCCAGGACTGTTTGTGCCTGACTGTGTTGTCCTTCCAGTTGATGTCAGGGAAGTTGAAGTCCCCCATGAGAACCAGGGCCTGTGACCATGAGGTAACATCCAGCTAATACTCGCCTTGGATGGAAAAGACAAGTGGAGTACAACAGAGTTCTCTTCTGGGACTCGTGTTTAATATCTCCACAACTCTTGTCAAATCCCCAGGCTGGGGAGAATCAGCCAATAAGCTAAAAGGGTGGCATTCAGCAAGACCTAGACAGGTTAAAACTCAGCAAGGACAAATGCAAGGTATGGGGAAGGAGGTGCTGCTTGTAATGATATGAGCTGGGGGCAGCTCTGATGAAAAGGATTGTGAGGTCTTAATAGGCAGCAAGCTGAACACAAACCCATAATGGGCCTTGGCAGGAAAGGTGGCCAAGACCATCTTGGGTTGTATGAAAAGGAGCTCAGCCAGTAGATGAAGTGATTCTCCCTTTTACTTAGCTCTTGTTGGTCCATAGTTAGAGTACTGCATCCGGTTTGGGGCGTCTTCAACAACAACAAAAAAAGCTTGTTCAAACCTAAAGACAAGATGGCTTTGGAGGATGTAACAGCAGCTTCCAGTACCTATGAGACAATCATGAAGAAGATGGAGCCACGATCTTCACAGTGGTGCAAGGTACAAGGATAAGAGAAAACAGGCAAAAGTGATTCAGGTACAATGATATATGGAATAGCTTTTTCAACATCAAGACAGGCAGTCAAACAAATTGCTAGGAGAAGCTGTGCAGTCTCCATCCTTGGAATTTTTCAAGACCAATATAAATAGAGTAACTTTTTTTTTTTTTCATTTCAGTGTTGACCCTGCTCAAAGCAAGGATTTGGATTACATGACTTCCTGAGATCCCTTCCAATCTGAATTTTCTTATGATTTCTAAAACAGCTTCAGGTTCCCTCTATGTTTCTGGTCTTCTCACTGCCTTATTCACAAACATGAGGCCTGAACATCATTTTATTCAGGACCATTCAGAAATATGATCACAGGTATTGATCAAATGTATATGATCACACCTAACTGAATTTTCAGCTACTTCATTTGAAGATTTCCTGCAAAGTAGCATAGCAGAATTTAGCACCATGCCAAAATCCCTTTCCACTCCATTTACAAAGTATTTGTTCAGGGAGGCAATCTGTACTAAGAGTGTGGACATTCCCTATACTACTGAGATCATACATTATATCTTGATGTTTTGAAAACATTCATACATGATATTCTTTTCTCTCTGTCTCTTTCTGTGCCTCAGCTTTCAATTTTTCTTTCCAGGAGCAAGCAGTCTGAAACCATAGGATTCTTTAAAAATGAGTAGGTTGACATTCTCTTATAATAATGTGAAGCAGAAGATAAGACATAAAAACCAATCCATCCAAAAAACATAAAAGTGCAAAAATACAAAATAATCAAGAAAAAGAATAAAACACTGCTAACAGCAGAAAGCAGCAGGTTTTTTTTTTTTTTCATTGAAACAAAAGAGAAGTGTAGCTCTGTAGCTTTATCTCATAAGGTCAAAGCCATCATCAGGAAAAACTGCAGTCTGCCAGTCTTCTGCTGACTCCACGGACAATCATCTTGAAGAATATTAGTCTGGAGCACTCATCACTGCTGGAGAAATGAGACTAGCACATGTAAACTTCCATCCATCTGGAATTTCTGAAGGATGATCCATCTCTCTTCTCACTGTAAAAGGTATTGACGTGAAGCTGCATAGAAAGTCAATGATTTTTTAATTTATCCACGTTCATCTGCATAGATATAACTTTGTTAACCTCTAGCTACAAGTTATAAAAATATTATATTTTTATAGTTATATTTTGCATTTGCAGAGCATTGTTTGTTAAAAAAAATGATACAAAATTAGTTCCTTTTTCTTTCTCCATGATTCATCCTGTTTGTCTTCATGCAGTGACACCAAAAAAGGAGACTCTCCATTCTGATAAAACAAACAGGCACTGGAAGGACCAAAACTAGTCTTCAGAACACTTCCTTATGGATGATTCCAGTGCTAATCAAAAACTGCCAGGACAAAAGATAGTGTCTCTTTCATCACTGAATTCGACCACTTTGCTTCCACAGGGTCAAAATGCTGTTCACTCAACGAGGCAATTGTCTATTTATGATTTAAGATCTGGGGCAAAAGAAAAAAAAAAAAACACACACACACAGGTAAGTTACGATATCTTCTTTTTTAGCTACCAAAATTTCACTAGTTATACAAAAACACTGCAGCTTTTAAGCATTAATAAAGCATGAAGATGAACTAAGACATGGCTATATAAGGGAAAGCAATCAAGTTACTACAGCTTAGTGACCTGCGGTAGCTACTAACTACCAACCATTTGCCCCAACTGATATACTCAAGGTTAGACAGGGGCTTTGCGCCCAAGGTGGGTTAATAATATTCTTCAACAGTTACTGCCACCCATCTGCTGAGTTTAATGTTTAAGTTTTCAGGTTACCCAGCTGGTAACCTAAAAGGGTGTTCTGTCTCCATGACTTTGGATCACATAACTAGTGATCACATAAGATCACTAGATCACATAACTAGATCTTTGGAAATTTAGTTCATTTTTGCTTGAGCCTTCTTCACCAACAATCCTCCTACACTGTAACTTATTTTCTAATACAAATTTTAATTGCATCTTTTCATGCCCTAACAATGGATAAGGACCTCTAGTGGCTGAAGCTTTAGTTAAACAGTGTTAAAGCTTTGATGCCAATAGTTTTGAAATGCCATTCTTCTTATCATGCTTCAGAACATGATACCCAAGCAGAGCAGGAGTGCATAACATTAAGTGTTTTTTCAGTGCTTTGGTGTGCAGCATCTTTTTCTTGTGCACAAGGAATACAGACTTATACTATGTGTTTTTCTTGAGGTCTGTTGATTTTGAACCCAGGTGGATGTGATTAAAAAGCTCTTCTAGATTAATAGAGAAGCAGACCCAGTGTAAGGAATGAGGAGACCAGTTATTATTCTATATGTGAGACTCATTATCTTTTTCTGAATGGTTATTAATGAAATTGAGGCTGCAAAATGCAATCTATTGCTCAAAATACTTTTTTTCATAGTGCATGATTTGGTCAAATTTTGTTATTTGTTGATCAGTTTTTATATTATTTTCTTTGGGGGGGTATAGATGGCCTCCATTCATAGATCTTGGAAACTATTTTATCCTCTCTATTTTCTCTGATATGTATACAGAAATGCAAAATGACCATCTATGAAACAAGAGGGTTCCAGGCAAAATAGTGAAATAAGCAGTAGCAAAGGTGTTATGTCTCAAAGTCCTGGACTTTGTGACAGCCAGGTGAAGGCAGTAAAACTTATTTCCCTGCCCTAGTAAGTGAAGAAATGGTCACGCGAAGTGTGTCAACGTGAAACTGTCAGTAGTAATCATGGATTTTTTGACTCCCTGGGAAAACAGCTAAAGTTCATGGCCTACCTAGAAAAATTTTCATTGCAGTCCTGAAAGATTTTCAGAAGTAAACCAGTAAGTAAATACATAATTAAACTTCGTCATTGCTGGTCTATTTGTGGAGCTTGCACAGCTTAAAACAATAGTGAGGGCCATTGCTGAACCTTGAATCCAATGAACAGAGGTATTCAGTTTATCTTGTCTCAGAGACATGGTAAGTTTTCCTGTAGTTCAGGCATGCCTTAGGGAATTCTGCCTTCTCTGCGTGTGGGTGAAAGTTTCTCTTTGTAGTCTACAATTTTTACACTGTTTTACTGCATTTCTGGCATTCTCTACAATATCCCTAGTTTGCCTGAGAATGGGCCTGATGGTAAAGAAAATGAGGTGGTTTCCCAGAGCTTAAGACATCTTTGAGGAGAAAGATTTTGAGGGAATGTGAAACTGGAAACTATAACAAGTAAACTAGGTGGAGGAAGATGGGAATAGATAGGAAAACAATTGTGATATTTGCTGAGAGATTTGCTTCCAAATTTATTAGCTGAGGCACCTTTTTTGTTTGTTTGTTTTGAAATTTTAGATTTGACTTAAATGTTAAAATAAAAAATAATAAAGCCTGTATGAAATATGCACTATAAGCCAAAGTGGATCAAAGCATATTTGCTTGGAAAGAGAGTTTGTAGGTTGACTCAAAATAATTACGATTTCCTCAAACGCATTCCTCAAATTGCCTTCTGAGGCAGGCTACAGGACAGCGATGTGGGCCTCTGTTTCTGTCAGGGGCAAGGTAACATGTATGATGAAGGGAGGCACAGTAGCTTCTCAGTGCTCCACAGAAGGATTCACCATGTCTTGCTGGTCATAGCCCTTAGTTAAGTAGTTCAACTGAGAAAGTTTCTAATTGTTTTCTGCTTTTTATGATGCTATAAAGTTACTCCAAAGCTACAGGAATGGGCTGGGTCACTTAGGGCCGCACCGTTTTCTGTTCTGTCAGGTTTGATTCAGCCGACTGACCAAATAATCCTGTTCAGATGTTTGCTGAAGTCAATGTCAAAAGCAAATAACTCTCAGATTGAGTGAAAGCAAAGACGAGTACAAGGGTAATAGGGAGTGAGGAATGAAGATATGAAACCTGGCTGTGTGATGCAGAAGACACTGCCAATTTTTGGACTTGAAATAGAGCTGAGGAAGCTGTGGTTATCTTCAAACAACTGAGTCAGATCCTGTCAGTTGCCAATAACTAACATTGAAGACCAAATGAATTAGGTCAGTGTATTGTAGCTAGGCTTCATGACCTGTTGCTCTGCACAGATTACTTATTTGACTACGCTGTGCTGGTAGGTCATACTTAAATGGTTTGGATTTTGGAATAGTTGCGCAGCAATGATGCACAACATAAGTCCACTGCACACCGCCACAGTTTCTTCAGCAAAACCACTGCCCAAACAAACTCAGCATCGCCACAAAACCCACACCCGCCCTGACAAATACACAGCTCTCTTCTACACTGCTTCTCCACAGGAGCAAGAAGGGGCAGGCAGTATGCGTGGTCCTGACCAGCACAGGGCAACGCTGCCGTTCCATGCCTCTGCACTACGCTGCACACTCTCCCCTGGCAAGCGGACCAGCATCCCCACTGGTTGGAAAATTCATCCTGATCTTGTCCGCTTTCATCTCCTGCAACCTGGCAGGCACCTGCAAGGAGGACAGGCAATGCTGACACAAGCCTGGACCTCACACCACTGCCCATGCTTACACTACAAGCAGCCCTTGCTGGGCTTGGTGAGACAGAATGTAAGAGGCATAGAGGAAAAGACGGACGGATATCAGAGCTCAGAGGGTCATGATAAAAAGTGCTGAATCTAGTTGGAGGCCTGTGGCCAGTAGTGTCCTGCAGGGGATCAGGAGTGGGCCCAGTGCTCTTCAACTTGTTCATCAATGACTTGGATGAGGGCACAGAAGGCACCCTCAGTTTGTGGATGATCTGAACTATTGGACTAGATGATCTGAAGTCCCTTCCAGCTACAACCATTCTGTGATTCTGTGAAAACAAAGTCAACCCTTTCCC